TTTTACTTTTGGTACACACTGATAGCATGACGCTTGTCGACGAATGACGTCAGTTTGATCAACGGACTGTTCATTTACGCAGAAATGCACGGCAAAGCGATCGCAGTGGTCATTCGCTTGGGTGCAAACAGTTCCTCGTCTTATCGTTTCTCTCTGCGAGAACTGGTTTACAAAAGCCGCTTTGTAGCGTCACAGAAATTTGCTATATCGAAATGAATATGAATGATAAGCCTGAGGCATGATTTCGGAAAATGGATTTTATACCTTTCTCCTTTTCGTTCTGGATGGGTAAAGTTAGCCAGGTAGGCACGATTCCCCTTGATTACAGCAGCATTAGCAGAGAAGACCATGTCGGGATAAGACTCAGCTCCCTAAATAGAATATCTTGATACTTTTGAAGAATGTCGCTTCTAGTGACTTCTTGCTACACTATGATTTCAATGACTATCTTCAGATCGCTATTAAAAGGGATACTTTTCAAGGGGGAAATGTGCTAAAGTTGTAGACATGCTTAACATTATCATTCGCTCTATCAAAACTTATTTGGTCCTCAATCGAACCTTAAGTGACGAATACAAAGTTTGCTTTGAATGAGTAACAATTTGACAACTGCATACTCAGCTTAACACTAACTATAGTAACTTCCAGCAAAAAAAGCGAGAGGTACCCCTAATAAAAGCTCCATTTTAGAAATTGACAGCTTGTGAACGCGACGCTATTCTAAAAACGCCGAAAAAATTTGAGAATGTCTTAAGCATTTTGACCACGTCAATTCGTCTGCTTTTATTGCAGACCTAGTAAGCAGCAGTTTCGCCATTGCGGTTTCAGAGAAAACTGGCAACCCTCACATCAGCTTCCATCACTTCCACCTGAGCTCCACAATCTTCCAGCGTTCTCTTAAGCGTTTCCCATTGTTCCATTGCTTTAGGGCGATTGACTCCTCGACGCATGTCCATCCAGGGATTGATCGAATAACTCAGCTGTAATGATGAATATGTATCAGAATAATTTAGAGTACTCTTTTAGATTTTTCACCAGTATGCGGTCAAACCAGTTACCTGGAAGTAGGTAGGGCGGCACATGAGAATTCGTTTCGCCGCTGTCACGACTTCCTTCAAGGGAGCTGTAGCAGAAGCCATCTAAAAAAGACTGAAACTCATGGAAGAATAAGGGTCAAAAGGTGTCGAGAAATCAAAGGACAGCTTCTTCGAACAGGTTCAGCTAATTGCTGAGAATCAAAGACAAACAGTGCCGGCCCTGTGGCGATCACTTCCTTATATGCTGTTACGACAAAGAGACCAAAACACGACTGCGAGATGTATGCACTAAG